AGCTCCTAGGGTGTTCTCCGGAAGTGTGGGGACCGGTCTCAGGACACACACGGTGTGCTTGCACTACTTGTCCACGGCCACCATTGGAGCCCCCTTACTCTCGTTTCCCCTTTCCTCGTGGGCTCTTTTCTAGTGTGCACACACCCCTTTCTTCCCTGACTTCCCCCGTCTCTGTAGAGTGAACTTGAACTCAGCCTTTACCTTAAGCCACAGTTGCGGCCCGTGGCTTCGCCTGCCCTGGGTGCTGACCGAGACTTGTGCTCGGGGCGGTAAGACCCCCAATGGAATCCCGGCTGTAGGATTATTAAAGGTTCCGAGGCACTTTTCACCGTGGTATTAACTGAGCCGTCTGGTCCCTTGCCCTCAGCACTGCTGCCTGGGCCTCCTGCAGACCCCTTCAATGAAGGTTATATTAGCCTCTCATCTTCCAAAGACTCTGCACGGATTTGAGACAATCATGACCGTTTCTAGGCAAAATTTGTGCATTATTTACAGGACTTCAAATTTCCTTTCCTAAAAATGCCATTTTCCCCAATTCCCGGTGATTTCAGACCATTCCCTGCCCCCCCCCCCACGCACAATTTCAGAACTGTTCAGGAAGTCTCATGTGGGTGGCATTATATGCTCTGAGCATGCTCTGTGTGTGTGTGTGTGTGTGTGTGTGTGTGTGTGTGTGTGTGCGCGCATGCACAAATGTGGGTGTTTGCCACAGTATGTGAGTTGAGGTCAGGACCACTTCAGTTGTTGTCCAGACCTGCCTTGTTTGAGATCATGATCTCTCTCTTGCTCTCTTCCGCAAACTCTGGGCTAACTGATCTACCAGCTTCCAAGGAGTCTCCTGTCTCCCCATCTAATCACTGAAGTGTGATCCTGACTGCACTTATCCGTGCCTACATCCGTGTGGAAAGTGGGAATGATGACGTGTAGTTTGTCTTGATATGAAGACTAAGTCCAGAGATGTCTGTAAGGTCTGAGCAGTTAGTGACATATGACAAAACCCAGTAAGCAGTACACGACTAAATCTGATCCACTATAAGGTTTAATGTGTGACTATTTCCGAGTGGTATTTTACAATCGTCAGGCAGATTTAAGTAAAGTAACAGAAGAGCCACATTGAACTCTCTGATGCTTTGCTAGCTTTGAGCCCATTAATGATGCATTATTAGTCTTATTAATGACCACCGTGCCATCTTTTACACAAATATTGAGCTTTGCCTTTTAGCCCTAGGCCTTTTATTCCTGTGCTCATTAGCTCTGTACAGAGAGAAAGCCATTGGCTGCCACTCTTTATTTTTGCTCCCTTAGGTGATTCTGGAAGCTGAGCCTGGTGGTGTATATGTGCATTCCTAGTCCTGAGGAAGCATGGGCATGCAGATCTCTGGAGTTCACTGGCCAGTCAGCCTAGCAGTCAGTGGGCTCCAGGTTCAGTGAAAGATCCTGTTTCTAAAATTAAAGTAGATAGTGGTTGAGGACTATATCTGATGTTGACCCATGTCCTCTACACACACACACACACACACACACACACACACACTCACACACATACACACACACACACACACACACACACACGTATGCATTCACGCACACAAACACCCACACATATATACGCACACAATTGCACAAACATATATGAACCACATCACACACACACACACACACACACACACACACACACACACACACACACTCATGCACACATCCACACAAAGATATATGCTTCACAGATCCCCCAAACACACATGAATTTGCATTTAGCACCCTTACCATGGGTGTTCTCCCCATTTTTAAAAATCACAGGGTGGATATGTTATAGCCCATTCAGTGTTGAAGTCGGACTGTAAGAAGGAAACGATATTCCTTGTTTGAATTTCAGGCATACCATAAACTTCTGTGCTTCTTGTCTACTTTTTCTTTGCCCCCATACCTGAAGGAGAGCCTGAACTCAACATTCATGTTACCATCACCTGAGTGTACTTCCATTATTAGAAAAAAAATATGGTCACCTCTTGCTGTGGCCTTCCTGGATTAAGTCAATGTGGCAGAAACTTGGAACCCTCTATAGATGCTATGCCAGGCTAAAAACAGTATTTTATCTCACCCTTTCCTTATGCCGAATCTTCCCTTCACTGCATTCTTAAGAATGAATGGATAGGGTTGGGGATTTAGCTCAGTGGTAGAGCGCTTGCCTAGCAAGCGCAAGGTCCTGGGTTCGATCCTCAGCTCCAGAAAAAAAAAAAAAAAAAAGAATGAATGGATAAAATTTTGATGAAATGTTTCTGGCCTGGAGAGGTGGCTTGTGCTCACGAGCACTCACAGCTCCTGCAGAGGACCCAGATTCAATTCCCAGCACCTGCATCAGGCAGCTTACATCTGAAACTGCACTTCCGGGGGATTTGATGCCCTCTGTTGGTTTCTGGGGACACCCACATGCCTGTGGTATAAAGGCAAACAAGCAGATTGGTTACCCCCACATCATGCTACTATTTCATGAGGGGTCCTTACCTTCTTTGCAGCGTAGCTAAACCTTACTCATTGTTCTAGATTCACTCTGTTGGGAGAGCTATTGGCAACTGGTGGCTGGCTGTCGGGGGGGAAATTCATTCTATTTGGAAAAGGAGAGATCGGTAGGATTCTTGTGTCCTTGTGGATGGCCACGCAGCCACATGCCTATGGGCAGCACTAATAGAACTCTGAGTTAGAGTTATTAATAATAAAAACACCAACGAACAAACAGCACATAGTAACAGATATCCCTTACTGACTGCAAGAGAAAAAGGATGTCCCATTGGGGGAAACTGAGGAAATTAACCTTGGCAAGAATAAAGTGTACCAGTCAGAAAGACATACAAGATGAAGCAGAATGGAAAAGGGGAGGGCCAGATCACATGGTCCAGGAAAGGAGTCCAAAGCCTTGCCTTGTTTGGACAATGAAAAGCCTTTGAGGAGTTTGAAACAAAACAGTGACTTGGACTCACTTCCATTTTTAAAAGATCCTTATGGCTGAGGGGCAGAACATGGGTTGGGAGGCATACAAGAGCTAAGGAGAAGATTCACCAGCCTGTGGGAGAATCCAGGCAAGCGACAACCATGACAGGACATTGCATGGGTTTCAAAGATGCTTAGGGTCAGGAAAAAATACCCAGAGACAAGGAATGTCCGTGAGTCACAGGGGTTAAGGAGGAATCTTGGGATTCTGGCTTGCTGGCATGCCATTCACAGAGAGAGGTGACATGAGCCATGGGGGAGATTGACAAAAGTAATGATGGCAAAATCTAGCTTCTTCTGGGTCAAAGTGTGAGAGGTGAAAACGTGGAAACAGATGGTAGAGTGGATAGACTTCTTATTTCAGGAGGGTTGGCTATGAAGAAGCACTGCCGTGGGTAATGGGAGGTTGGGGCCAGAGGGGCCAGCTTAAGCACAGGCTCTGAAGAATTCCCAAAGAGAACAAAACCCAAGAGAAGAAAGCTGGAGGTCTCTGAAGAGGCACCCAGCAGCAGAGAGAGGACATTTATTTAGGGGAAGAGAGTTACACTCCGCAAAGATGCTGATGAGAACAGGATGCTGAGGAGACAGTGGATGCAAAGAGAAATTTGGAGACAGACTCCGCTGATGGTTCCTACTTCCTCTGCAACGCAGAATATGATCTCATCTAGTGCAAACTAACAAGAAGGTACTGGGGCCAAAGTTTAAAGAGAATAGAGGTTTGAGGGGGTGGGGGTCAGGCAACACAGTAGGAAAGTTGAGGGTGATGATCAGGTAGCAAGGGGGAGCCCTGTAGAAGTCCCTGATGCCAGGGCTACAGCTGCCTCATCTCAGAAAGCTGTGTGTCTGTCTGTCAGTTGTCAGCATGGGTTCAGGGACTATATATAGTGGCAGGCAGTGGGATAGAAGGCTTGCATGACTCTCCTCAGCTCAGAAAGAAAAAAAGCAAGGTCTTGATTACGCCTTTATAGAAGAGTCAGCCTATGTGTTGAGGAAGCCCCAGGTAAAGCTGATATGTTATATAAAGGAGTCACCTCCAATGCCATAGGGATTGTGGGGGTGGGGGGGTAGAAGCAGTGGGGATCCCAGGAGAGACCTGACACTATGCCTCCTTCACACCACAGTGCTCAGCACAATCAAGGCTCCAGCCAATAGAGGGGCTGGATACGATGTTCTCCTCCACGTCAGCCACCTATGTCTCTGAAAGCCTTGCAGCCCACCTCTGTCAGCTTTTGAGAGCATTTTCACACCACTGTGAGTTAGAGAAAACAATTCACAAGGGGCCAAGCCTAGACTTAGTCTTGCTGGAACCTGCTCCCATTGGAGACAGAGGCCCTGAGTGCTGCTGATGACTTTTCTCAGCCTGCACATCCCTGCATTCTAGACTTCTCGACTGAGGCCTCTGCAGCTGGGTATTTGAGCTATAGAGAAGAGCCCCTCATTCTCTCTTAGCACATCTCAGAGAGAAGACAAAAGTCCCCCTCCCCCATCTGACCTGTGTGAGGTGACCAATCTAGAAACATCCACAAAACACAACGCATCAGCGAAAGAAGACTGATTAGGAGGGAACAGTAACAGCCCTTTGTGTGATGCTAAAGCTGATCGCGGCACAGTTGAAAGCCAAATCAAAATTGTTTTTTTTTTTAAAGAGTGCCCTCCCCAGATACTCAGGCCAGAGAGTAGAGGAGGGATTTTTTCTTTTCATTTTTCTTCTCTGTCGGATGAGTAATTTCAGTAGAACTGCTGAGTGCTGAACAATAAGACATTCAAGGACCCAAACTGGAGAGTCATTTTCCCCCCACAACACCCTCGGGTAGCTAGCGGTTCGCTGTCTCTGGCAGACAAAATTATTTTCCAGCCGGCTCCTGGAGGACCATCTATAAACAAATTAGGAATTTCAAAGGGTTTGTTTTCTGCCTTCTGGCTGCCAGTAGGGGCCGTTCCCTTTGTGTCCTTCATATGAAAAAGTAATTTAACAAAGAAAAAAAGAGAGGGAGCCATAGTTCAAAAACAGACAAGCCGTGTACACCCTCTCTCCCTCCCTCTGCCGGTTCCCCTCTGTCCATTGTCGTGTTTGGTCAGTTTTCTGTCAAAATAACTTTTATTGTCTGAGCCTCTCTGTCCTGCAGGGCTCCAGGAGCTTGGAAGACAAGCTGTTTTCCTCCAGCGATTCCATCAATAAGAAGAAAATGGGAAATGAGCGCTGATTTATGGCTGATTCTTCATAACAAATAGCACCAGTAAGTAAATGCCTAGCCGGCTATGGAGAAGAAAAGAAAAAAAGGGAGGCGGGGATATGTCCATTCCTCTTCCAGCTCAGAAACAGACCCAAGCCGACTCAGCTTGGAAGCAGGAGATCTTTCCAAGCATTTTTACAACAGCTTGTCAAGTCAGGCACAAAGCCGTACTTCAAGATAAAGACAAGAATCAAATCTGCCTCATGCTAACTCAGAACAGGAGTTGAACTTGATATCTGACACACGACCCTCTCCCAGCCCCTCCCCACTCCCCAGCCCCCTGCAGCCTAGCTGCTTGAGAGTATCCCCTGTAACAGTAAGAAAAGGTTCACAACAGCCCCGCCCCCTTGTATCCTGCTAAGGACACTAAGACCCAAAGAACTGGGGGAGGTTCTGGCTATGATGGCACTGCACATGCTCTTGCAGACGGGACCAGCAGGCCAGGGTCGCTGCCCCTTGTTTCTTGTGGCCCAGAGGCAGCATGTGGAGAATGAGCCTCTTTCCTGAGTCTTGGCATGAAAAGCCTCTTTTCTCATTATCTTAGTTTTCATTCTCTGGGATTGATGTGAGGCTTGGCCGACAGTCAAGCGCGGCAGAGCAGGAGGCTCGCAAATACAGTTATTTCTAGCATGCTGATGCTCTCCACTAATCACGGTTTAAGTGGCATGCCAAAAAAACGAGCCTTTGCTTTCTAGGGCCCCATTCTGAGGTTTGCACTTTAAGGTGAAGAGGTCTTAAAAGCCTTCTAACACAGCGCGTTTCACTTAAGGAAATTTTTGGCTCGGGAAAACCAATTTGACACTATTGGGAGTATGCCAATAGAGAAGAAAAAAAATTGCTGTGTGGCCTTCATTCAGTTCTGGGTCGTTTTGAAAAACACACATTTTCATATACTTTTATTTGCCAGTTCCATGTCTGCTGACGATTTTGCAGAGAAGTTTCTAGTAGGCACCCCAGTATTGGGTTCAAATAAAGAACCAAAACTGCCCTATGGGAGTAAAGGCATCACAGACAGGTTGAGGGTTCATGCATGTGTATATGTGGGTGCTTGTTGTGGGTGGAGGCTAGCAGTGGGGTGCTGGGGAGTGAAATGGGAACAGAAACATGGCATCCCAATGAAGGTTAAATTCACCTCCAACTTTGCTTCCTGGCCCCAATTAAGTTTTTCAGTTCATAAGAAAAGACCTGCATTGTGTTTTCACTACCTACCAGAAATTACTTGACTTGCTCTCCAACATATGCCCTACATGCATACCCCAAAATACATGTAGGGGAGCAGGTTGAGAAACAAACACCATTTGAAATGCATTTCTATTTTTGCAATAACATGCCCAGGAAACATATTGCTAATGCGTTTCCCATGAGGCGACGAAGCCAGCCCTTTCTGCGCATGTTAAAGAAAAGCATGATCCTTGGAAGCAGGGAAAGGAGTCAGTTTTCAACAAAAGTATTTATAGTCCTTGGGCTGAGAGGATTGACCTAGGTTCAAACGACTAATGGAGAACAGACAAATAGTCCTTCCGTTCCCCCGGTGCCATAAAAGAATGCAGTATTATGCTGAAGACAAGATTTAATAAGCTTAAACATGTGTAATGTAAAAAAGATGAAATGCAAGTCACAGAGGGAATCTAGGTAGTGTGTCCAGGACCATATAGCAGTTTTACAAATTGTTTATTTCCTTTACCAGATGGACCTTTTAAATTTTCCTCTCTGTGTACCTTAGTCCTAATGGAAAATCCCCCTGAACCGCTTCAATGACTGCATTACCTTTCTGGGACTATGGCCAGGCTCAGTGCACGCAGGGTCAACGCCAGCCTGGAGCGGCTCTCTGCCCTCAGTGAGGTTATTAAACAGGAACATTTGACTCATAATTTGTTCTCCTCATGTTAAGTAGATTGCAATAACTCAGCTGTCCAGGATCTGTTTATCAATGCTCTGTGGCTTTCAGCAGTAGATATTTTATAACCACTAAATAGATGTTCAGACCACTCATCAAATGAAAATCTCTTGTACTCAGGGCGGGTGTTATCATCACACCCCACCAAGTGAAGAGCCCTGGAGAGGTAGGAGCCCCGACCCACAGTCTATCAGGCTTAGCCAGATCCTCATCCACTAAATGGCTTTAATACAAACTGGTCCAGCCTCAGAAGTGAGTGTAACATCTCAGGGGCTCTTCATTAGCCTATATCATCCTAATAAACTGCCATTTTATTGAGTTTTCCTGTCTCCTTTACATTCAACTAAATGTCTTCCTGTGCATTTCGATTAAGAATGGGGAGAAGCAAGGAAAAATAACAAGAATAGGGAAACAAAAACCACTGTAATGCTTTAGGCTGCAGATTTCCTTTTTAATTTTGAAGTGTGTATGTGTGCATGTACATGACATGTGTACTGCGTGTGCATGTGTGTGTATACAATGTGTGTGCCTGCATTAATGTGTATGAGTGTGGGCATGCCTGGGTCATGCCTTGTGCATGGAGAACAGAGGACAGCCTCAGATATCTGTCTTCACCTTTACCTTTGTTTGAGACAGTGTCTCTCTTTTTGCTGTTACTGTAGATGCCACACTTGCAGGCTGGCAAGTCCCCACCTCCCATCCCACCTTAAGGGCACCAGGATTACAGATCTCTGCTACCATATCTAATTCTTTTAACTGGGTTCTGGGGATTTGAACTCAGGTCCTTGCATTTTCATGCCAAGCACTCTACTCAGCTGTCTCCCTGGCTCAGATTTCAGAATCCAAGGAAGAGAGGGTGGAATCCATGTCATCATGGAATTCGCTTATGATCTATATACCCAAATGCATACAGCCTGGGGTTAATTTCATACAATATTTCAGTGTATGCCTGTTTTTACTTAAGACTCACACAGGTCAGGGGTGGAATTGTTCACATATGGTGACATGTTGGCACTCAAGTGATTTTGGATTTTGGAGTAGGATGGATTTCAGATTTTTATATAAAGGATGCTGGTTGATGCAAACTGCATTCTGTTGATGCTGTGTCCTTCAAACTCAATCATTTTAAATTATGAGAAAATTCTCATTATCATAGACAGATTTCCTCTGTACTAATCTGACTTTTGTTTATGAACTACAGTGACTTGGGCATTTCCATCTAGCATGAGAAGTTATCTCCTCAAATGGAAGTATACAATTATTTAATGACAATAATCAAACCGGAGCCTATAGAACTTCTCAGATAGGATGGACGAGACCTGAAGGCTAACATAAGGCCACCAATTTTATAATTAAGTGGAAATTCACATTCTAGAAAAAAAAATGCTTGAACTTCAACCTTGAAGCCCAGCCCTTATGTTTATCAGTCATATAAACGAAAGAACAGGCCCATTTGCATTAAGCTTAGTTGGGACACTGTCCCCTGCAACTTAGGAGAACTAAGGATTATCTCTATTAGTGGCAGGAGTGGGCTTGGCTCAACTTGGATTGCTGGCACATGTAGAGTAGGAAAGAGGCACCGGAAAATAGGTGTGCCTCATCTCTGTAGAGGCACAAGGAGAGACACTTCCCCGAGGATTCTCAGTCACTGAGAAAGACAACAAAAGAACACAGCCAACATCTACAACTGCTATCCTAAAACTCCTTTCTCTAACTGTCCTTGCCGTCCGTGGGGTGTGTTAATCACAGAATATTGTTTCTATCACCATAGCAACTACTAAGAATCTCATAAAGAGTGGTTTATAATTAGGGAAGAAGTTAAAAGATGATTAGGGGAAAATTCTCATGAGGAAGTGCTTTTTTTTATTGCTCTGATTTATTAGCATGTCTGACTACACACATTGATGATATTTGCGATGATATTGATATTGTAATACAGGTGTTCAACAAGCAAGGTTTCGCTTTAGTCCCCCACTTTTCATTCACTTTGTCCTTTTATTGAAAATAGATTTATTTTCTCACACAAGACATCCTAATTTGGTTTCTCCTCTTTTTACTCCCAGCTCTTCCCCACCTTCCTCCCATCTGTCTGTATCTCATTAGAAAATAAATATGCTTCTAAGGGATAATAATAAAATATGATATGAAATAACAAAATATAATAATATAAAACAATAATTAACACGTCAGAATAGGACAAAGCAAACAGGAGGAAAAGAGCCCAAGAGAAGGCACAGGAAATAGAGATGTACTAGTTCAAATACTCAGGACTCCCATAGAAACGGCAAACTGGAAGCCGTTATATATATGCAAAGGACCTTTAGGGTAAAAAGACAGGGAAAAAACATGTAAGTAAAATAAAATAAAACAATAATAAAATTAATTTTTTTTAAAAAAGGAAAAGTCCCAACACGACATGAAACAAGAGATCTCCAAAGATACTATTGAATTCCTTTTCTGTTGGTCATCTACCTTTAAATGTTTTCTGAACCTTTGACCTGGGTTTCTTCTCTTTCCTCTATTCCTATTATTCTTAGATTTCGTCTTTTCATAGTGCCCTAGGTTTCATGGATATTTTATGCCAGGACTTTTTTAGATTTAACATTTCCCTTGGCCGAGGTATCCATTTCTTTTATCATATCTTCAATGCCTAAGATTCTCTCTTCCATTTCTTGTAGTCTTTTTGGGAAGACTTGCCTCTGAGGTTCCTGTTCAAGTTCCTAATTCTTTAATTTTTGAATTTCCCTCGGTGTGGGTTTTCTTTACTGATTCTATTTCCACTTTCAGGTCTTGAGCTGTTTCCTTCATTTCGTCCCACTGTTCGTGTTTTCATAGATTTCTTGAAAGGGTTTATTCATTGCCTCTTTAAGGACCTCTGTCGTAAAGGCTATTTTCAACTATGTTGCCACACTCAGTGCCTATTGTGGTAGGGTTGCTGGGCTCTATCGTAGATATGATATCCTGGCTGTGATTGATTGTGTTTACGCTGGTGTCTAGATATCTGGATTTAGGAAGATTGTAATTCTAGGTACTGATATCTGGTCTTGTCTTGGTTGGGTGGGTGTTTTGTTCCTTGGTTTCTGTTTCCTCTCTGGTTCTTAGTGGA